TACATATATATATATATATATATATATATATATATATGTGTGTGTGTGTGTGTGTGTGTGTGTGTGTGTGTGTGTGTGTGTGTGTGTGTGTGTGTGTGTGTGTGTGTGTGTATATATATACATATAATATATATATATATATATATATATATATATATGATGGTATCCCCAATACTTAGCTATTTCAACTAGAAGCCTTCGCTACCACTAGTCTGATAAGGACCGAGATTGGAAATACCGTTTGACATACCGTTTGACAACACCGGTCTGAATGGTGATAGCTTTCAAGGTAGAATCCATGCTGATACAAATTACTACCTTGCTTATTGTAGGGACTTACCTATAGCTTTTAATGTCAATTTATGTCTGCGACAACGGTGCACAACACTATATGTAAATGTTTCAGTATATATTAGTTCAACGTTTATTTTATGTATATCCTCGTTTGATGACCAGAGAAGCGAGTCAAGTGACACATCTGGTTTTGCCGCCATTTTATTTATATGAATAGGATTCCTCGTGCCATACCGTTTGGGGAAATCATCCTATACGTTGAATTTTAGCCGTTTTTTCAGTTGTTTGCTATAGTTGAATGTACCAGTTCAAAGTTTTGTTTTCTATAAACGTTAAAAGCAAGAGACCGATCATAAATGGCTCAAGCCGACAAGCAGTGCGTCTGGCCAGTGAGTCTGTGAGACTGTGAACCGCACCACATCAAACTGTCCACTCTCATTGGCTGTCAGAAATACAAGTAAACAAAACAAACCTGGGACTGAAACCAACGTGGAACTGAAATACTTTCCCACAAATGCAACGCTTCCAGAAAATGTATATATAGTACAACCTCGAACTATATAATAAGTATGCTGAGACTCAGCCAAATAACGCTCTGGTCGCCTTTTACTACTGGAGTCAGTGTTTGAGTTTCACGTAAGCATGTAATTTTACTTTATGGATAGGCCTCGTGCCTGTACATCCATATTATCATTTGAGAATAATAATAAAATCTTTAGTACTGCTTGTTTGCAGTGTATTGGCCAACAACACTCTGCTTCGCAAGTATGTCAGTGACCTTGTGGTATACAAATCTTACCATGTTGCTGGCACAATATGTGTGAAACTTTGTCTATAGTGCGAATTCATATTTCTATCATAATTTACACTACCTCTGTAAAGGAAAGGTACTCAAGCCCTACTGATCCTTACTAAGGTGCAATGCGACCCGTGTTCATCAGTATCTTGACAGTATCTCGAGTAGAATACTGACAACAACTGTTACAAGAGTCCTCGGTGCTTGAGGGTAACTCAAGTTGGGTGGTTAGAGTTTGAAATACTTGCGCGATGGCAACAATTCTAGTCAACTACCTCGAAAGACAGAATTGCAATATGAATTCATCGAATGTTTGTAGTTTTTGCTTACCTTCGAAATTGTTTACGCTGTCTACTTGCGCAGCTTGTGTTGGGAACATGCTGAGATTCCTCTGATAGACACTACAGCGACTTTCAGACAACCATACAAAAATGCTTTGGTTCAACTATAAATCATATCAGACTTTACTCATATTGTGCTTAGAGGGCTTGCTTTTGTTTAGCTATCACTTTATATTTGAAAGAGAGAGAGGTAATCGGCATGTACGACCATCTCTACAGTGCTCTACGGCATCGCGAATATTTAGGAAATATATTAGGTCCCGTTACTGAAAAGCAGCCAGGCTTTCAGCATTGTGTGTAAAATTTGTATGGTTAGCTTTGCAGTGTGTTTCGTACAGTAGATTTATATTAGTGTGCGCGAAACATCATTTTCCTTTTCTGCCCAGCCGTGAAAGATTGGGGCTAGTGATAGTTATAAGCTCAAGTAGCACACTTTACCACGCTCGATGGTGACTTGCGAAATTACAAATCGAATAGTGTTACTTTCTGCACAGACATAGTACCAATACATCCAGGAGGCTTACAGACACGTGTTTGACTATGCAATATTTTCGGTGTTGTACACCAGCATTATGCAATTACCATCACCTTCTGTATAAACGAGATTTATGGCTTCGAATTGTTCGTAAGGTTGTTCTAGGATGCAAGCTGGTTATGCAATTCAAACAATCAACGTGCAATGAGATGTAAACATGTGAAGCATCGGACACGCAAAAGCAAATACCACGCGAAGCTGGCTTGTTCGGTATGTATACATATACTCTTGATATCATAAAATAATTGACGTCACAATGTGAGCAAAACGTCGTGCATATCTAAGGAGTCGTAATTAATTACAATACGCATTTCCCCGTGTGCCTGAGCGTCTTTACAACACGGACACCGGAATGTATACTGGAATTGAAGACAAATAGCGCCTACACGCTGACCTACCTAACGAATAAAATTGACGTGTGTTTATTTTATTGTGAACTATTATATATCCCTGCAACAACTGGAAAAACTCAATTAAAACCTATTTTGTTAAAAACTTTCTACTTCAATAGCATCTCGGTAGGTAGCACAGGCGCCGCTGGGGGGTCGGGTCTACTATACATACCCACAGCACCAATCACCATACTCGCACCCAAGAGGAATAGTGTAGTCGGTTGGAAATCGAAGAAGATTACTGAGATGATAGATGCCAGAATAATCGATACGGAGGTGGCGAATCCTGCAGAATAAAAAAAGCGTAAGGTGGAAGTTAACAATAGGTATATCTTTTCCATTTCACTGAAAGCGGCAGCGCAAGGCAGAAACGTGCGAGTCACCGACGATCACCCAGGTGCTAAGACAGTACGAGATGCAATGCTCAACAAACGACTTTGTAAGTCAAATTGCGATACAATAACAATGAGAACTGCAGCTTAAAACGTCAAAGACCTCGCATACATACCTTTTAAGATATTGTCTGCGTACTTTACCACCACTGCGATGATGAGGCCACCTGCCGCTTGCAGTGTGATCACCAACCACACCAGAGGGGTGTATCCGTAGAAGAACCCATTTTGAACTACGGCGCTGTAGTCATTTATTGCAACCACAACCATACCTAAATGGAAATATATATATATATATATAGACAAGGGTTAGCCCAAGGATGTGGAATGTAAATTTCTCCCCACTCAAAGTGTTAGATTGACATACGGGGCCCTAACAGGTACATAAAAGCACGTTCCAGTGACGGGGGTCTTACAAGCATATAATCCCGAGGACATACCAATGATGAATCCGAATGAACCAAGCTGCACATTCCGAATCCAGATACTAGCGCTTGTACCCTTGAGGATTTTCTCAAAGTAAACACCGGCAAATCCACTGGAACAGCACGCTGCCAGCACGGCGAATAAACCTAGCATCTGATTACCGACGATTACTTCCTTCTGTGTGGGTGGACAGAGTAGCAATGTAATCGAGTAAGCATATGCTAATTAAGCAACACCATGAAACGAGAAATGAGAGAAATGAAAATTATGCCTGCGCCCGTGACCTGGACACATGGCATTCAAAAAAGGCAGTATGCTTCTCAGTGAGTGATGATTGCCGTTGAACTCGTTATGCCAAGAAAACACGTGTAGCCCACGAGCACCTACAAACTTGCGCTGGCATAGCCAGAGTTTCATGTGCGATGATTTGTGTGTTTGTATTATCACCTGATTCCATCGCCTAATAGGTCTTAAATTAAGATTCCACCCACCAGTACATTAACACTCTAGGCGACGTTTGATAAAGACATGCATGTATACCTTAGTATCTCCGGTGGGGATCTGGACCAAAGCGACACCGCTCATTAGAATAAACAGCGAGAGCCATTTGAAGTTCGTCAGGTGCTTGCCCAGCATCCATACAGAGAAGATGGCCGTGGTCAAGATCTTCAGCTGGTAGGTCACTTGGTACGTCGCGGCGTCGAGGTTGGAGATTGCTACATACAGAAGATTGCCTTGTAGAGTGTACATGATGGCGGGCACCGAGAGCTTCATTGTGTCGGCTAGATTGTCGAAAATTTGTTCCTACACCAGGATACGGTTTGAGTGAGAGTTTGAGCCAATGTGAAAATTCATAAAACAAATGTCTGTATCGTTGCTATATAGTGTGCACAGGTAACGCAGAGATGATGTAGACGCCGCACAAACAATGAGAAATCAAAATACACAAGTACTAATTAGTATTGCCCGAGTAGCTACAACCCACCTTTAAGTGTTGTGTCGTCGCCTGTACATCAAATCGCCTTTCTTTAAATATAATCCCAATGCACACGAGTAGTTTCATGAGCTCTCCAGTCACCACCGCGGTGGAAGTAATGTACATATCGCCTGCAAGATTGAAATGCATGAGTTTGATGGAAATGGCATGTTACGTACACAACCAAATCCGGATTGTCTGATTGTCTGGTATCGACAGCGTTCTACATGCCACAAAACAACCCTAACTCAAAAAACCATATGTGTACATGGCAAATCTTTTGTACATTGTTTGCGGAATTTGTCAAGATGGTATGTCAAAACGGCGTATGAAGATGCGCATCGAACACATGTTGACTATATGCAGACGCTAGGTATAAATATTTAAAACACTTGGACGAATGGTTGAAAAGATAAAGTGAACCAATTCCAGATTTCAACGCCGAAAAAATACACGATTACAAAGCTCGGGAATGTTCACCTTTCGTAAGACGAGACGCCCTCATGAATATAACCACGGCTGTGTTTTGCACAACCAAAGCCACAAGACTCAATTTCTTGATCTGTGACTCATTCGCTGTAAAAAATGAAATTTCCGAAAGGTGGGGGTGTGGTTTATGTCAATTCAAGCTTGTTAGTAACTGGAGTAGAACCAGTCTACAACCGGAACGGGGACTATGACGAGAGGTCAAATTTTGTGAGAAAATGAATCAATTTTTGCGGTGAGATAGACATAGCATATGGCTAAAATCCTGCCCCCGTTCTAGAAGTTGAATATGAAACTCATTATGGTATCAGCATACAGGCGTACGAACGCGCATGAGCTATAATAGTGTTGATATTGAACCACTACAACAGGAAAATATGTTTCAGACACCAGGTACTTGATAGTTTGCAGATAATCAACAGTATATGAATTGCATATACCAGCAGCATATTTGCTCCCCATCTACCAATTTCCACACACTTCTACCTTTACAATTCGCCAATGACTGCTATCTAAATTTCCAGCTAGTTACAATTTTCCAGAGTAAGAACTACATAAACGCAGCCTAGTTCTACAAAAGCAGCCTAGTTCTACTGTATCGAAATTACAAGGTATGCAATCCACCAAGTACGCATATGAAATACCCATGATGGATACAATCGTGAGCTATTCGGAGGTTAAAACTCGCAACAATGACAGATACACGAGCATTCTTATATTTTCGAGTCCATTCAGACACAATACGAGCATACATACACATTTCTACACAGTAGAAGGAGCGTATCATGGACACCTGACCATGTCAGTGGAGAAAATATCCAGCGTTTGAATGTGCACATAGCATTGAAATGGATACGAAATAATACAGCACAGACACTTTGACTATACATAAGCACATCATAGCAAAATGATTGACCTCCAGCATAAATTTATGTGCGCTTCCAATATAAACAAGTAATTGCCCTAATGCTCTGATTACAAGTAATTGCCCTAATGCTCTGATTACAACCGAGAACAAGACGTCCTTAAAATACCTGCACACTCGCAACGGAAATTCAAAAGACATATCTATGCTGAAATTAAATACGGTGACGTATGAGAGGTCACATTGTAGCATATTCCGACATATCTATGCATATATATAACATCAGCCTCTGCACATGTGTATATATATAAATGCAAATACATGTAAACAACCAGGCATATGTAAGTAAACACTAAATCCGAAAAGATTCTCGCAAATTTATCCATGGATATTTGAATAATATATCATAGGTATGTATTTTTTGAGTCTGCTGAAACATTAATTATCCAAATGTATATCTTGGAATATTTCTTTGGTTCTACAAACTTTAAAGTATGCGTTGCTAATTTTTGTATGTTGCGTGAACATACCCGATATGAGGTGCAAAGGAATGAGGTGTAAAGGAGATCCTCTAGGCGATAGCACGTGTATGACGGTAGACTTTGAACGTGTATGCGATCGCTATAATACCCCGTCGCACATATAGGTGTTGTACAATTGCAAAGGTCATTGCATGTATTCAAACTTGTTTGAAGATATGACACAAACAAAGCGTACACATGTACAACTACTTAGTTCGTATTTATGCGCTAAATTGGGTAAAAACTACAAATAAGTACAATTATTCGCACGAGGCTGGCTGGTATAAAATTCGGCTGAGATTTACACTTGAACATTCACATACCCTGAGTTTAGTAGAATACTACAACATATAAAACTTGATGGCTATTACCGAACTGATCGAGACATATACTATACATACGCTCCTATGACATGAAAATCGACGCAAAAACTGGTTATCAATCTATTCCATGTTTGTGTATTTGGGCACAAACAGCATCAACGCGTTTAATGGTACACATAATCAGCCAGATACACCTACAGGTAGCGATGAATCCCATGATGCTTGGTGAAGGTAACTTGAATTTTACGGTCTTTTTTTTCAGCTCTATGATAGGGCTGTATCTATCGATTGTGAGACAAATGCATACACCCTGACAGTAAACTAAC